GATTTAGCCAGCATTTTTTTCATGATTCTACATTAAGATTTCAGCGAGATATAAACTGAAATAGACGCGAAAAGTATGTGATGTCGCCGACGACATACTCGACCCCAGAGGGTTAATCGTCCAGTCTGTGAAGAAGGCATTCACGTAAGAATTGCATTGCGGTATGACTCATTTCCTGGCGCGTACAATTTATATTAGGTCAGCGTTCACTGTTCGACTTCTGATATTCAGATCGAGTTCTAGGTCAAACTGGTTTGTTTGACTTTTAAGTAATTCAAGTTCTAGTGAGTTCAAGAACCGAGGTACCACTGTATATGTACCATCCAATGACAGTGATTTGCAGTCCCTCGTGATGTTTAAAAACTCAATAAATGACATATTCCTATAACTCCTACAATGTCCACCCCACCTAGGTCATTCTAGTAGCAGGTCAATCAAGACACTACCCTTATGGATAATTTATAAAAATAACTTGACCTGCCTGTACAGTATGACCACCAGCCACACCCAACCTGCACCATTTCCATGCTCATTTCAATCAATCATCTAAATCTCAGCCGTGCTTCAGTCAATCCTCACCAAATTTGACCCAGTAATGTAGTACTGGACCCCAGAAAGACCCTCCAACTTTGGTGCCGATCGGTTAATGGGGGTACTACGGCCACTGTCCATATTTGTCATAAAACCTTCAAAGAATTGCTACCTTTCCCTTCACCTGAGTCCATATTTTTAATTTCCTTTCATTTTTCACCCATTTGCCTCGTAGAACATTATCAGACTTCATTTACACATGAGAAGGCCTAAAAGTATTGAATACCATTTATCAAATAGAGCGCTGCCTCCACCTGCTGGCCGCACCATTTCCATGCCCATTTCATTCAAACACCTAAATCTCAGGCATGCTTTATCTAATCCTCACAAAATTTAATTTAGCACTCGCCCAAAGACAGACCCTCCACCTTTCGTGGTGATCGGTCAAACGGGGGCACTACGGCCACTGTCTAAATATGTCTAAGACCAACCTTGGCTAATGCAGCTGAAATTACCTTATTTTTCATCAAACATTTAAAGATTAATCTCCTTTCCCTTCATCTGAGTCCATATTTTTCATTCACTTTCATTTTCCTGCCATTTGACTTTTAGAAATTTATCAAACTTCAATGATACTGCAGGCTCTGTACACTGCAGCAATTGCAATTTTTTCCAACAGCTGGAGTCACCACATTTTCCTTGTTTCTCATCTACCCTTTTCCCTTTATCCTACCTTGATGAACATTTCTACTGTAATGTCCAAATGTCAGATCTCATCTTATCATAGTAGTATTTCCGACTTTCTGACTATTTAAATGCATTGGCCATCAGTTACACTCTGTACTTCATTTTCCATCATTACTAAACTACTGATTTTATGCCATTCACTCCATTCCTCCCCATTGCTTCTGTCCATTAGCTTTGGACCAGTTTGTCACTGCTTGCAGTTATCTTTATTATTATTACTCCATTCGCAGAACACCGGTATCTCTATGCATTTTAACCAATCAGACCAGCTCGTTTTGGTCACGCTTTTGGCCCTGCTAGTAAGCAGAGCCTCGTCAGCGTGGGTACAGCTCAGGTTCGGCTCAGTTGGTAGAACTGCAAAAGCATCATTAAAGATTCCGGCTGCCCTAACTGCATTCCTTTGGACTACAGGAGGTAACAGAGTTGCCAGAGGGAACCCAGGCAACAGGCGTGGTGTGAGGCAACAGTGCTACCCATGGAAGCAGTGAGCCACCCACAAGCTTGTATTAAAAGAGGAAAAAGAAATCTAACACTATTTCAGGCTTCCTTCAATATTTGGACGTCAAATCAGAAATTTTATTTCCTCCCAAGGTTTTTTATTTACGGTAAAATTTTAACACCTTGCCAGAAAACCTATTCATGGTGAAGAAAAGGACAGTAAAAAAAACTGAACAAATACAAAGGGTAAGACATCATAAACAAAATGAAATGATCACAAACAGGCAATACGATTTAAATGGGATGTTTAAGATTACAAAGCTTTTTGGTAAAAAACAGAAAAGGCATGTTTGGGCACTACAGTTCAAAATCAAAGGTGCTTCCCTTTTAGCAGATGAATTCCCTAAATGGAATGGTGAAAGTTCATAGAACAAGCTTTGGGGATAAAGCTTTTTACAAATCCCAGGAACTGCTAGCACAGTTTTGTAAAAATCTACCCCAGGGTAGAACAGGAATCTGCTCGACGTTGCACGGTCAGGCACAGAAGGAGCTGCTCACCATAGCCGTGATCTCAGCACCAGACTTGTGGTTCAGTGCAGCCATGATCACGGAGGCCAGGAAGAATGACAAGGTGCAGGCAGATATACAGATAAGGTCCTGTGGATGAAGGCACAGCAGATTAGCGTGTGTTAGCACTGACTAACACGTCTGACTGAACACTGCTGTGACAGGGAAGACATGAACTACACAGTACAATACAGAGAGAATTAGAGCAAAATATTTAAAGAGTTACTGTGCCCTGTTTGCAACTTCCCAAATTGTTATCATACACTGACAACATTAACCTACGTCTCCTTATCTTCAGCTAAGCTCTACCTCGGTAGAAATAGAGAATAAAGAGTTTAGAAAAAAAATTATGTTAATCATATTGAGAACTAAACGCAAGGGAAAACTTTTGGCCCTATAGCTGACATGGCTTTTCTTCATCAAAATTAAGCCCTCTCTCCTCATTACTGAATTTTGGCTCCAAATGTGTGGCAGTGCTAAACAAAGTTTTAGGTCCCCCAAACTTGAAATCAGGTTAAACTGAACACATTCATATGAACCATCTTCCCCACTGACCTAAAAGTATTCGTACATGAACAGTAACAGTACTGTTCTTACAAAAGAACACAGAAGGGAAACCAGTCCATATGAATACCAGAAAATTCAACTACCAGTATCAGCAAACATCCACACAAAGCAGAACTGGCATCATCCTGTTGGGCAGCTTATGTGGGGCAGTGAGCAAACCGCAGTGTATGACCCAGACGCTTTGTGCGCATCCCAGCAACGGTTCCGTAAACACAAAAGCACGGACCCCAGCCACCACCCTGGTGATCCGGCTCCCCGTGAGAGTCTCCCTGCCTTGCTTGCATGATGAGAGGTGGTACATCAACATGCATGCATGCATGCATCTACTTTACTAAATGCAACTCAAATTAAAAAATCAAAAACAAATAAACAATAGGTCCCGAGGATGGATAGCTTAAGTATTTACCTCATTAAGTGTCATTAGCAAAAATGTTTTGAGCACTAATGAAAGTGTTGACTCCAGCGGGGCAAATTAATATTCTTCATTAATCTGTGCAGTGAAGCCTGATGCTCTTGTATTATTCATCCTTGCACTTCAGACCTGGAGTATGTTTATGCATAAGAACAAGCCTTAGCAACATGGCTTAAAAAGCAAGGAGTCACATTTATGGTCTCTCTGGCCCAGCAAAGTGTCCATTCCTTTGCACCTCTGAAACTGCATTTAAATGTAGGTTTGTGCTCCATTAACGACGACGCATGAAAAGGGGCATTCGGCAACAGGCACAGACTTGCTATTTAAAACAAAAAAGCAAGAAAACAGTCAGGGCTGCTGAGGGGGTGTCCATTTCTCAAGGGCATATTGAACTACACAAACCACACACTGCAATCATACACTTTGTTTAGAGCACAGCCAGAACACATGACTTCTCCTCCCATTGGCATGCAGAGATATCAGGAAGGCAGGTTAGTGATTTTTTTTTAGTGAATAGGTTGGGTACAAGTTTCCCACAATTCCGCAGGGCAGGGGCCATGACAGCAACGACCCATTTCCCGGCTCTATACGCTCAGCCATCGGCCAACATCAGCACTTGAGTTTCAGGAGGTGACCTTCCAGCTTTACGATCCTGAAGAACCAGATGTTGCTCTCAAATTGTCTCTGTGCTTTCTCAGAAATAGCTCTGGCACACCTTCAAAAAAGATCATCAAGATTCAGCCAAATGGTCAAGATGGATGTTTCTGCCTGTAAAAAATAAGCGTCTGTGGTTTAAATTATTCAGCTGCTACTATACTTGGGATGAACCATGACCAAAAACATCCCAAGTCCACGCATTCCACTTTTGCATATTTATGGAACAAACAGCCGACTGATGTCACTTTTTATTTAACCAAATCTGTGCACCATGAACAAAAATTCATGATGGATCAAGCATGCACACACCCTCTTGCTTATCTGCACATATTTGAGAGCAAAGAAAGCCAGAAGCCTTTAGCAGAGCAGAGACTGGTGTTTTTCTTGGTACGTTCAGGCAATGGAGGCTACAATTAGCAATGCTTGTTTTGTCCAGTCACACAATGAAGCGAGCAGGACTGGCTGCCTTTGTCCTGCATCCATATGCCAGAGTGTGGTAAACTATGTTACGAGCTTCAGGCGCCACCATCACACCACAGATCAGAAAGGGGATGGAACCATGCTAGAAAAAAAAAAAAACTTCATTCCTCTGTCCCCACCAAAACAACCTTTGAAATCCATAAAGGCTCAATCCTGATCCGTGAAATGGGTGATTCATACATCCTTCAAGTCAGAGAATCACTGTCATTTATTCTTTAAAAGCCTGGCCAAAAACAAGATCAGTTGCAGGGCCTACTATCTGAGAGTACAAATAACAGTAAAACCCCCCTCTGCAGCTGCCCCAACACAATTACCCTCAGCAACGGGGTAATTTCAGCAAACAAGAGGCTCTCGGTTTTCACGCAGAATGCTGTGTCATGTGGAAATCAGCCGCGACGTCCGAGATATTAACAGAGAGGAGCCGCATGAGTGACCCAGCTGCAGCTGTCTCAGCCAACAAAAGGAAGTTCACAGTGATTGGTCCACTGGCCAGGAGCCTCGCAGGCACCCACTTGGGACATAACCAGAGAAAAGGTGGCACAGAGCCCAACCAGGGCCTATAGAGCAGACCTTCATGCTTATGAGAGACACATTAAATAGAAACAGCACACAACACCATCAAAACCACAAGGCTCAATGTTGTAAGACTGATATTACCACAGGCTGTTTTAACTCATCGCTGGGGATTTCACTGACTGCTGCTAAATTAAACAATGCAATGAATACAAACATCAACCAATCAGTTTCAAAGCCTCATTTCATCCAGGATTCCCTTTAAATTATTATTAGTCACCTCTAAAAAGTGATCTTGCAGTTTGTGAAGTCTGGACGAAGAAAGCTGCACCAGAATGGAAAGAAAAGGAAAGCCAAGGGGACAAGTCACTTGGATGGGATGGATTGTCCTGATTCTCACCATGAGGTTCCAGTTGATGTGGGAGATTTTAGTGTTGAGGTTGAGGCTGAAGATTAGCAGCAGGGCACAGGTGCTGAGGAAGGCGCTGCAGCTGATGAACTCGAAGAAATAGATGCTGCTGCAGGGGAGACACGTCATGACGGCCTCGATGCAGATGAATGCGATAAGGGAGAGGAGCTGTGGAGAGAAGCATGGCCACATAATGGCATCATAGGAAACATCCAAGGAAAGATGACCAACCCATCCCCTCACCCAACACAATGAAGCGTATCCCATGGTAGCTAATATGTCAAAATCAAAGTCACATGACATCAAAAGGGAAACAAGTCTTATATGCCCTAGAGATAACAAGGCTAATCTGATTTGCTCTTCTGTTGGTGGGCATTGGATTCATCAAAATTTGTATTTTCACAATAAAACTCCCATTTTCTCTTGTGTTACAAATCCAGTGCAGCCCTGTTTTACTTGCTTCTCAGTTGGATTATATTTAGAGTTCAAGGAAATCCACTGCTAAAAAGGCAAGTTTTTTTTTTTTAAAAGTTCGATAAATTAATATTATTTCCAAATCAGTGAATAATCATGTTTAATAACTGATCTCAATATCGACCAAAACAATCATCATTATGATTTTTGCCATAAATCAAGTGGCCCTAGCTGACATTCAGCTTTCCTGTGAACCACTGTCCTACACCCTCTCAGCACTGCACCCCCCCCCCCTCAAAGAAAAGTGTGACTGCTTGGGCTGTGACCCAATTTCAGAAATCTTACACTTTTACACTCTGAACACCCAAGCAGAAGGAGAACCCATTTGACGTAATAGCATGTTGGAAAGGATGCCTCTGAACTCATCAAAATTGGAAGAAAGTTGCAAATTTGCTAAAGTTTTGAAAAAACTGTATAATTAACTCCTTGTGACATTCTAAAGTCTTTCAATCTAATTTGAAAGAATCTGAAAAAGAAAATGTTAGAAGTTTAACTGAACATGTATCGTCACTCAGGCCAATAACATTCACAATAACTTTATTCCTTTCGTAAAAGCGATACAGTGATCCCCCGCTATATCGCGGTTCAGCTATCGCGCCCCCGCTATATCGTGGTTTTTTCCCGACGCGTCACAGTTCTCTGCGTATCGTGCACTTTGCTTGTGGTTTTCATCGTCTTAAGCTCTACAATGGCTCCCGAGCGTCCCGCATCTTCTAAGCCTTCTGGTAGTAGTGAGCCTAAGTGCCAGAGGAAGACCTTGACCATTCAGAAGAAGGTAAAACTCCTGGATATGCTTTGGGAAGGAAAGCATTACGTGGACGTCGCTCGCCATTATGGCTTGAATGAAACGACGATACCCTCAGAAGGGCTGTAAATGCTCAGCTTTGCTGTGCAGTACGTACTCATCACCTTCATCCCCTACATACGTACTTCGTGTACTGCACAGCTAATTCATCATCATCATTCAAGTTATGGAGTATATCTTCACTGGTGAGTACCCATACTGAGCTTAAAATGTTTTAATGTTTACATATTCCATTACGTATACATATACACATATATACATATATACACATATACATATACATACATATACATACATATACATGTATATACATACATATACATATACATACATATACATGTATATACATATACATACATATACATACATATACATATCAGTGGTGTAAAGTACTTGAGTAAATGGACTTCGTTACTGTACTTAAGTATTTTTTTGGCTACTTTGTACTTGTACTGAGTA